ACGGGCGTCATATTCCAATATCTTTACCTTGTAATAAAAGATTTTATTTGGTTTCTTAAATCAATATTAATTTACTAAATTAGACACTGTAATTTTCTTATACCAACGAGTCTTTTTTAAGTAACAGGCTAGTAAAATAAAAAGGTGCTTTGGAAATTAGAACCCTGACATGTATTCTACCGATTAAGCATGGATTTTTCCTAATATGAATCTAATATCGCTTATATCGCACACTCTTTTATTCTAAACAGAACTGGAATTAAATTGAAAATGTCGTAAATCTTCTACCCTACACCTATACTATGTATTTTGGGTCAGGAGGATATAAATCTTATGTCAGTTTTGACCGATCACGAGATTAACATAGAACTGAAAACCTTACTGCAGTATGTGCTTTTTTGTTTGGCTTTGGTCTGAAGGCTTACGTGGGAGTTGTCAGTTGTTGAACAAGTTTCGGACTGATTGCCACGTGATCGGTTTAGATCTTTCAAGAGAAGTATCTTTCCCTTCTTCAGTCTCTTCTGGTCTCCATCTCCATTAAAATTATCTCGATTCTTCTGGATTTCTATCAGAAGGATGCCAAAAGAACAGTGAGAAAGAGGAATATCTATCAACGACCTTTTTGTCCTTTATTATGTAACGATGTACTGACAAAATAGGCTGCATTTTGAGGACACACAATATTATTACCATCTACGACGCCTTAAGGAAGATAGGAGGAGCCTTTCCCAAGACGAGTTGCAAGAATAATTTACCTCGAGACGAAGGGTTAGAACCCGGGTCATCATAATTCCTAGGATAAATGTTGTTTCTATGTTTTCAACACGCTTTGTCGATGGGATATAAATCTGGACTCTTAGAAGGCCATCCCAAAATGTTAGTATAATTTCTTTTAATCCAATTTCGGACTAAATTGGAAGTGTAGATTGAACTTGTCCACAGATGATAGAATTATATTTTCCAAAATGTTCCGTGGTATCGTTAATAAACTATAACATGTCCACTATAATAGCATGATTGCAAAACAACATTGTTCCAAAATGCATCATTCCTATTAGCAAACTCAACATTTTGACCGTTTAAGATTATATTATTCGAACAGTCCAGAATTGAATTAATTATAAATAAGGTTACTGAAATACGGTGAATGTAGACAAAATGCTGCGGCCGCAGAACGAATATTCACACACATTTAGTAGTACTACTAGAATATGCCGAATTTCTATGCTGCCTGCATATGAACAAATTATTATTGGCACTACTAAATGGCATATAAAATGTATAGTTTAGTTCTCGTCGCCATTCGTTCCCTCGGATTGAATGCCATAGTTTCAGGAATACGGCGCAAATGCGCAAATCCCCGGGTTAACTCAGTCGGTAAATTCAATAAACCTTTCACAAAATCAAATATTTATTATGATCCTTGGTTCCTATCTGTACTAAGCTTGGCTAATCTCGCAGTCCGGCGGAATCATTTAGAGCGAAATTTCAATATTAACTTCAACGGGGGGGACGCTGCTTTGCATGAAGTGTGCACTATGATTTTAGAGTTCGTGACCTCAACGTAAATATTAACGGAATGTGTCGGTCACTAAATTATATGAATCTTATAAAAAGAAGCTGAATTTTTTAGGGTTATTATATTAAATTTATCCAAGTGACAGTACATGTTTGACCGAGACACCAAAAATCATTAACCTCAATTTATTTGGGTATCTTCGTTTCAAATTCCGAGGTCTTATTAATGAAGTCTACAGTACTTTTACTAGCGACTCTTAGTTATCATAAAATGGTAGACCTAAAGACTTTTGGAGGCTCGTTCGAAAAAAGCACAAATATACGCAGTTGCTGTTATATACCACTACCAATATTTCGCAGAAGATATCACTATGAAGCAGTTGAAGCAGCGATAAGTCCCACTGGATGGCATGGGATATGTAAAAAGGGTTGCCTACAGGCTGAAGCATAATTAGTTCATATTATTGCACATATTCCCAGTTTCTAGCTCAAACTGGAAAAGCACGTGATCGGAACTTTATAAAGAAATACTAACCCTATCCCGACTTTTGAAATCAAATCAAACCGTAATATATGAATATAAAATTTCATTTAGCGAAAAATTGATGATTATATGGATACTGCTTTAATCGCAAGGATTACAAATTAATTACTTACCCAGCTTCACTTTAAGCTCTTCTTTTTACCCATTTTGACTGGGTTAATAGAGTGCCTCGAAATGTTAGCAGCTAGCCAGCAATTTCGTGAGTGTAATTTAAATTTAAATCAGGCAAGTTTATCGTCATAAAGCAGTTTTGCAACGTCAGCTTTATACTCGTAGTGCTTGTTATTGTGTCCTTTTTCTTCCACCTCGTTGTCATGCCTTAGTTTCTAAAAATGTCAACTAACTTGACTTTAGTCTTCGTTAATTTTTGTTCTAGTTTCCCAAACGTATAATTAAAAAGTTGTATGCGTAATTATTTTAAAGTATAATTAATTAATATACATATATAGTGATATATTTCCCTTGTCATATAAAAAAGTACTTTTATCCACAATCACCTTATAATCGGACTTTTATCCACACACATACGAAATGTCTAAAGTGATAGCTACTTTATCCACTAGTGGAATAAAGTAACTTTATTTCACTAGTAACATAATGAAAAAATAATAAACCTATAATAATAAATCAAATTTAAATTATTTACTTATTAACATTAACATTAACATTTATAGTAATAGACATTTCGTTTTTTGTTTTATCATATTTAACTTCCTTTCCGTTAATAACAACCCTTGTAGCATTGTTGCCATAATTTTCGGAACCCACAACATCTGCCGAAGCTTGTGAATAATTTGCACAAGTTACGGACGACTCTTCTTGTAAGGAACAGCTATATTTTCCTTGGATTTTCCTCGCAATATCAAGTTTGTTAGATATAGACTCCTCCACATAACTTTCTGCTACAGACGAGCTCTTTCATCCATCATGCCGGTTGATGGTGGTAAGATTCAGCACCTTTATTGGCCAATAAAGTTGTTGAAGTGCGCCTCATACAATGGCCAGTATATGCTTCTGGATTAGCGATATTCAGGAATGAAGCAACTATTGAAGGTACATTCGCCAATGTTTTGATTCCAACAGGCTGAGAAGTACAATTGGGCGCAGAGAAATATATTTTCTGCATATTTCAACAGCATTCACGCAAAATCCTTCTATCTATAACTGTAATGAAATGTCCGTCTTGGTGTCAGGTTTTGAAACAAGTAGGTGTTTTGTCAATTCGTAGCATCGACAGGCACCAGAAACCCCTATTATTAGTTTAGTGCAACTTAAAATAATTCAAAGTTCACTATACATCTAACAACATGTAAAAGGTAAAGAGATATTACCTTCATCATTAAATATTCTTTATCGGAAGCTCCAGTTAAAAATTCTTCAATATGTGCTCATTCCAACACTGCAGCTTTTTTGCTTTGTATCCTCTCGATTCACTCTTCAAATAAGCAGTAAGCTTGTTATACTTTCCAATATCTATGTTTTTGTAGTCCTTTATAGTAGCCTTCAATATCGAATACTTCGACCACATAGATGAAATTGCATATTTTTTCTTCAAATTTAAAAAGTACTTTCCGTACTTTCTCCGTTTTTCCCTCCATTCGTTCAATTCGGCGAACACTTTTTCGTGATACGACCCTGGATTTGGCTGGCAATAAATGGAAAATTGCTTCTTGTGCTTCTTCCAAAACATCCACAGGAACACAATTACTTTCTTGCATCTTCAACAAATACAGATAGTACTGTTTATTAATTGATAACAAACAACATAGCAACCAGTAGGTATAACAAAGCCTACCATGTTTTATTCAGTACTACTAAGAAATATCAAGTCGTTCGAATATTTTTTTATTAAATTCCAATAAGTTTGACTCTACAAATATGATTGTGATGTGATTATGGATAAAACGTTGCATTCCATTTGTGTTTTAATTGCCTTTTATCCACTTAAACATTCTTGCGTGGATAAATTGCTACTTAAAACACTTATACAATAAGTAACTATTATTTTTTATGTAGGTACTGTATCTAGCAAACATTAGCCTTTGCATAATACTTTAAAAATTTTATTTTAATACAGCTCCTTCAGCTACTCAAAATGAAACAAAATAATGAAGTGTTTCCTCTGACAAACAAACTTGTTCGAGGTTTTCGAATACAAATTATTTTCTTTATTTGCAAAGGTAGCTATTTCGTTTTCTCTTTAATTAAAATGTGGCTTTCTAAATATTACTACTGCTACATAAAGAGATGCATGTTGCAGAGCATAATGACAGATTTCTGGGATATCTGGGAAAATATGCTTTAAGTTCAAAGTCTCGCAGCGAAAGAGAATACACTAGTGTTTAATGTTTTGTTATAGTAATTTTTATATGATAGTTTTTATATGATAGTATAAAACAGTTTTTAAATTTAAATAACCTAATGGTGCTATTCTATAATTTTCTTACAATGCTGTAAATTTACAATGATAAAAAATACATGAGTTTAATGTTTACAGAAGCACAAATATTTTCTTTTCTGTGAAATACTTTAACATTGTCATTTTTCCAGTGAAGATTATGTTCACCTTTGTTTCTAACAGTAATTTACTAATTCTAGATACAACCCCATTCTTATCAGTTGCAATATTTTCTGGAAAATAAACATTTATGAGTCAATCGAAAATCATCGAATTAGTATGCGTCTATTTGAATGTTTTTGTTTATGTATTTACTCATGTATAATCTCTATCAAAACAGTACAATAATTTCAAGGAATTAATAAAATTGTTTATTAAATTTATACAAACAACGATAAGCGTTAAAGTCCCCTCTTATCAACATGTAAATAGGATACATTAATGAAGCAATCAAAAACTGTGATTTCCTTTTGTCCAGAATTTCGGTAAATTACCATTCAATGTCGCTTAGAAATAAATATATAAAGACCTTTTTCCGCGTTCAGCATCAGTATATTTTGCTATTTGCAAGCGCTGTTCAAGAACAAAAATGAAATACTTCGTTCTCTTGGCCATCGTAGTGACAGTTGTTGCAGCTGTTCCAGTGGATGTAGTTGAAGATGAAGAGGGTCAACAGTATTATTTGGTGCCAGTGAGTCGTGAGAAAAGGTAAGAAACATTATTTTGTCTTGTTTTATTACTATTAAAAGATGTTTATGCTTAACTTATGATTTTTGAGTTGGGAAAGTCCACAGGTTATTTTTAATGACCTGGGACCTGTATTTCTTCTTTCTTCTCTGCCACTGTAACAATACTGATGTATGTTTAATTTAATAGTTCATTAAATCTTATATAATTGTTTTTTTTTTATAGAGGGACTCAATGGGGCCTCTCGGGTACCGGAGCTACCGTGGGTCACAGCGGCACAATCGCAAACAGCGGCGGTCACAGACTCGACGGCGGCGCCTACGCCGGGAAGAACTTCGGATCACACGGAGCGAGACCTGATCAGGTCGGAGGTCGCTTAGACTACTCCCACGGATCTAGAACTAGCGCCTTCGCTAGCGCCGATCACGCCCGGCACTACGGCACCGACGTCAATGCTGGGGTTCGACATAACGTGTACCAGAACAAAAATTTTGGAGTCGACGTCACTGGTCAGTACGGTAGACATTATGGAGGACCCTCTGGGACCGGAAGGGCTTCTTCTGGTGTTGGAGTTGTCGGTCACGGGACATTCTAGGGCATCTATTAATAATTTTTAACTTATTTATTGTCAGGACTGTGTAGCTGTTGATGTTAAATTTAATAAAATTGTACATAAATTTATGTTTCAATTAAACCTTAATTTGAAAAAAAAACAATTATTTTTTATTTATTTATTGTTACACCGTTCTATAGGCTGAAACCTTAATTATAGAACAGGAAAATAAATGGAAAAATAGAGACATATTTCATATGAAATAATAAATAATAGAAAAAATAATGGACTTAAATACAATAATACCAGAGAACACTATACTAACGAGAAGCGACAGAATCGGCGGCTCCTTTGATGTTTTGTGGTCACGCTAGAGTCGACCGATTTGACGGAAACACAATTGTTTACACTGAGAGAAGTTACACTTTTGAATAGATGTACACTGAGCGAACTGCATCAGTATCAAACATTGTTCATTTAATACAAGTATAACTGTGGTAAAATGTAGACAAATTAAGTATAATATATAAAAAAATAAAACAAGATGTTTTACAACTAATATTTTTATTAAACAGATATAATATTTTTTTGTAACATTTGAAATAGTTTTTTAAAAATAGGTACCTGACAATGCAATAACTTCTTTGGGACAATCTTCCACAATTTTTGCCTCTAGTTCTTCTTGCCCATTTCTTGAGCAACAAGTAGGCCATGGGAAAATAAATGACAGATAGATATTATTCAGTAATAATTACTAGCTTGTCATTTAACAAACTTCTGTGAAATTTTGTATTGTTTACCTATTGTTATAATAGGAATTCCTTAAAAACTCTTTTTTTGTTATTAAATGGTAAATATCCAAAAAAATTAATGATTTTAGCTATAGGAAATGCTTTATAAAAATGAAAGAACATAAAGTGTATGTGAAAATTATGTGCCCGAGTTTTGACTCGTCCTATATTCAACTGTTGCAATAATAAAGAAATAGCATTTTCTCGTAAAACTGTACCAATATCAAAAAGTTATGCCTGCAAAAAATTGTTAATTTGTTCTGTCTAGGATATACTGGACGCTGAAATGGGAATGATTCTCGTATACCATAACTTTTGAAATACCCTATATAACATAATTAAACCCTAAATTGGAAGCATGGGAGAGATGAGATTATTCTAAATGTGAAATAATATATAGGGTGTCCCATTTAAAAAATAGTATGTTTGGTTCACCCTGGTAATACGTAACACAATGTATATATACGAAGATAATTTTAAAATTTACAGTTTTAAGTCGGCAACTTTTGTAAATAACTTTTTTAAATATCTTCTATGATACCGGAGATATCGTACTTCGACGATTAATGCCGCACCCTATAGATATCCAGAAAAGACGTTAATCAAATATTTAAAAATGAATAATTTACTTATTTATTTCAAACAAAATTTACTATTGGGTGTGCCATATAAAATACATTTAGGGGGATTATTTTTACCGAATTTATTTCACGTTTTTACTTCCATAAATAAAGCGGTGGTATTTTTAGAACTCGAACATATACATATTTTTTTCCTGGTTTGTTTACTATGGTTTGTTTTCTAGATATAATCGCGTGAACTACCACTATTGAAGGCTGTCATTCATGAATTACTGATAAACGGAATCAATTTGTGGGCGTATTATTTATTCTTCATTTGAATAACATTCAAATTCCTAGAAATAAATATAACTTAATTATTCACTCATCATAGTTAAATTACTACACATAGAGATAATTTTTACTTATATGTACAGAAAAAAATGTCACAAAACAGTAGGTGTGTATAGGGTTAGTCACTATAATCTGACAACTTTGTGAGTTTATTATTGAAATTACAAAAAAGTTTTTAATACAAAAGTTTTAGCTTTTTTTATGAATTTTTATATTACAGTATTAGAAAAAACAATTGAATAATGGAAATCGTTAAATTAGAGAAAACATTTCTTTTTAATGGAATACTATATATTAGTGCATACTTAACTCACAATAAGTTGTCAGATTATAGTGAATAATTCTCTACATTCATTTGTTCTAAATTTGATATAGGTTTTGAAGTACTCGTACATTAAAATTAACTTCAAATTAAGGGAAATAAGTAGGTCTATATTATTTACAATTGATATAAAATCACTTCGTTAATATTAACTTCGTTGGCAAAAGTTAGATCCCAAGTTGTGCGAAATTTATATCGATTTGAACTTGTGACATGGGCCACCCTTCTCCATGTTGACAGATAGTTGGCCCTTAGGGACTTATCTTTTGGATTTTTTATTTTCTATTCTTAACTCCACTTCCGTGGGAATGTAGAAAGTGATCTCATGGACGAATAAAAGGAAGGATCAATTGCCGATGATTTAACATAAGGTTTATTTTTTTTCCTAAAGGAATGCGGAATTAATTTTTTCTATTAACACTAATACACTAGTTCAAACTTTTTTCCACTGCATGAAACACCTTTCGTACTTGTCTTTCCGATGCCTTGCAGCGCCTCCTTTGATTTTCTTTTTACCTCCGGATTGTCTACAAAACGTTTCCCTTTCAGCTCCCTTACGATCCCAAGTAAAAAAAAATCACGGGGCGCCAGATCAGGCGAGTAGGATGGATAAGAAAATAGTGTCACCAAAAAATCGCGCGACAAATTTCGACAAATATTTCGCTGAATTGAAATGCCGCATTTTAATTTTTGTATATTTGTGATATTTCGACAACATTTATTGAAGTATTACGTTTGCCCAGCGTTAAAAATGCATTTGCAGCTAAGTTAATGAATGCAAATGGCGTTTTAAATTTGACATCCGATATGAGTTAATATGCACCGGAGTGGCTTGAAAACAATAAAAAATTTACGACGGCTGTGCACGCTGCAAATTTAATTGACTGGAAACACTATTTTCCCCTGTTGAATTTCACAAAACGTAATAGCGAAAAATGCAAATGAACGGAACCCTACAGTGGTTCGTTATTACAAAGATGTGTAAAGGGGTGAAATGCAATTGTACATTTTGTTGGGGCGGCGATTATTCGGTATGATTAAGCGTTTTGTTTTCCCTATTTTTCGCTCTGTGGTTTTGTTTGCCGTTAATTGTTTTATTATCTGTCGGGATTATCCGCCTTTTTAACCGGAAATTTATTTTTAGAACCGGTCTGTGTTTATAACGCGGCTTTGTTTAGGTATAAATAATTTTCTTTATAAACGTCAGTGACGACGACTAAAAAAAAATAATTGATTCATTTTCAAAATTCGTTTTTATTATTTCAGATATTCATGAATGTACAGGGTGAACTTTAAGAATGTTCCAAATGATCAAAATGCCTAATATTGAGTGAAAATGTACTCAATATTTCACTCAATGAATTCATTCCGAACCATTATTGTAACAATGGCTATAAAAGAGTGTGATAATTATGGAATATTTATTTTAAGCAACATGATTTTCTAATACATCGTTTATATCAATGATCCAATATAGCAGAGTTGAAAATATCCACAGGTAAATGACACACCAGAATTAGTTCGGTTATCTTCGAAACTGTTTAGATAGAGATTATGTTTCATTATGAGGAACGAGTGATATTTTGTTAATTAAGCGGAATATTCTAGCGATAGGAAGATTCTGTTGCACAGAGAATGATAAGGATAATTTATCTGAACTGAGAAAAAAATGCGTTTTTCCTGTTGGATGTTTTCTCTTGTTTCAAGTATGGACCAACTAATTTATTGGTATTAGTATTATTGCGAAAACACACAATTTGTTAGAAAAAGCTATCGACGTGGAAGTGGTAGAAATGTACACGCCAAGTTGAGGAATGCGCGCGCGGGCAAACGGCGCGGCGTATAACACAACCGCACTGGGCAACTGGGCAATAAATCGCAGTTGTTGACAAATGGTTGACAAATTGCCCAGCAGCGCAGTTATTATAATTCTTTACCTTTAGCAGAAAACTTTTTTAGGGACGCCTATGATACTCATTAAATTTTATTGCTAGGCGTTTTTATACATGTTCAACTGACTTCGGAAAGACTCTACAAAATTTTCTGTTTAGCATTGTAAAATCAAATGAATGAAATTAAAATACTGCCACAAAAATATTCCATTTCTATTGTGTTAAATTTATCAATATAAATTCGGATTATTTGTAATTATTTTAAATTTGTGCAAAAAAATGTTTTTTCGTTATTTTCTGAAAAACTGTTTCCTCTCTGATTTTACCGCTACTCCATTGCTTTATTATTTCAGGCGATACGACTTTTGATTAATGTGATCGTCAGCGCCATTAGAATACTTTGTAGCTTAGATATATAGGTCAAAGATATAAAAATTGCATTGTTGCATTATATGATGCATTAATTTAAATTTTATACATAACTTAAAAATAGCTACGGCAAGTTGATAGGATCTTAATATAATTTATAAATGAATAAAGCAGAGTAGAAATGGCGGTACCTACCAACAACATGGTAGTGGATAATTGCTATAAGCAAATTTACAGTACTTTTAGGACAAACTGTTACCCTTGATACACCTGTTTCGTTGCTCTAGAGATTTTATTACTCCTTTTTGGTTGAAACTACACCCCTTCCTAGAAATTTTGTTCGCATTGTAATTATCAGACCAGTTCGGCTCTACGTGAAATATTAACGGCCTTTGCTTAATTGAAATGTGAACCCTCATTAATAACGCAAAATCAAGTCTAGCAGAGAAAGGTACCGCCGAATTTAATGATCAACGTAGACATTAAAATACCTACCATTTCAGCGACCTGCAAACAAATATTTCAGCTGGAAATCTTAGAGTTGAAAGCACCGTGACTCACGTATCGATCCCGCACGAGCCTTCCCAGTTACCGCATTTAAAATTCAGACAAAAATAGAAACTCGGATTTCTATTTCTCGATACGACGGGAATCTGACATACGTTTAGTATCGGGTCAATTATTAGTTTGAATTCTATTAATCCAGGCAGCAAGGTATCGTGTCGTACAAGTAAGTGGTCAGAGAAAACTTAAAAATAGATTTGTAGAGCTCGAATGTTCATTTTTGTCATAAATTTGTGACCTTGAAGTTCTTTGAGAATATCTCTTCTCGACTGTA